ACATTTTAATATTAATTCCATCAACTCTGCCTAAATAATTGATAAAAACATTCATCAGTATAATGATTTACACATACGTATATATATAATGTATAAATGCTTTAACACTTTAATATTAATTCCATCAAGTATAATGGTTTATACATACATATATATGTAATGTATAAATGCTTTAACATTTTAATATTAATTCCATCAACTCCGCCTAAATAATTGATAAAAACATTCACCAGTATAATGATTTATACATACGTATATAAATGCTTTAACATTTTAATATTAATTCCATCAACTCTGCCTAAATAATTGATAAAAACATTCATCAGTATAATGATTTACACATACATATATATATAATGTATAAATGCTTTAACACTTTAATATTAATTCCATCAAGTATAATGATTTATACATACATATATATGTAATGTATAAATGCTTTAACATTTTAATATTAATTCCATCAACTCCGCCTGAATAATTGATAAAAACATTAATCAGTATAATGATTTAGAAAGACTTTTATTTATATTTAATATTAATAATCAAGGTTTATTATACTTGCTTTATTCATTCTTCTCATGCTATAGTGAAATCTAATTTCATCGTTTTTTATTTACTGCAGTTAATTTTTATCAAATTATATACAAGGACAAATATAAGCAAGCTACAAACAAGCTAATATAAGTTTCATTTTTTTTTATTAAATTTTAAATTATATACAAATAATAAATTTCAATTTTTTTATTAAATTTTGAATTATATACAAATGTAAATTTTTATATACAAATTAGAAAAAAAGAAATTAAGTCCAATATATTAAGTTTAAGTGTTGGATTTCCAATTAGTATTAGCTTCTTGGGGATTTTTCTGTAGCTCCTTGGGGTGGCTCCTGGGTTGTATCTAAATAGAATTAGATGAAGGTTAGTCAAAAATATGACTAAACAAGCTGAGAGACATTAGGAAGGACGTTCACAGCAGGCCGTCCACCGTACGCTGGGCCTATGTATCCAATCAGGTCTGGAATACCCACTCAGAATCAGATACCCAGGGTTGATACCAAATCAGATGCCCCAACTGGTAACTTTCGCAAGCTGTGGCCACGATGTGCTTCCAGTTCCTATTTAAGGCCCCAAATAACTTCCATAGACCCGGAACAATCATATACATTCCAGGACCAGTCCAACCAGACTGTTCCCAAAATTTTAGGATAATTGTGAACCCCAGATGTAACCGAAGCAACCTAGACAGGCTCAGGGAATTGTCAACATATATACAATCATCATAGGGCCTATTTCCGTTGAGAGTACATGACTGGGTAATGAATCAATCGTCACATATGCAGGCCGTCCACCGTACGCTGGGTCTACACAGAAATTTCAAGTCCTGATACCCAACTGGTAACTTTCGCAAGCAACAAGTTCAGTACATGACTGGGTAATGAATCAATCGTCACATATGCAGGCCGTCCACCGTACGCTGGGTCTACACAGAAATTTCAAGTCCTGATACCCAACTGGTAACTTTCGCAAGCAACAAGTTCATGAATCATGTTTATGGGGACACAAGTTTCGCTTTGATCGGGACTTCTCAGTACTTGCCTTTAGTACTTGGTTGCTGTTTCGACTTTACAATAAGTTGATGTCAGGTGTTGTTGATACAGGGGATTTGTCTTCATGTAGAATATTTTAAAAAAGAGAAAAAGAAAGAGCTTTTTTATAAGAAAATGAATCTTATGAACAAACGCGTTGCAAGTAAAATAATAACAAAAACAAAAAACAAACTAAAAATAATAATAATAACACAAAAAAATAATTTAATTAATAAAAAATTCCAAGATGTTCTAGTTTAGTTAGATTCATTCACACATAACTGAGAAAATCTATAATGAGTATATCTATTTTTATATTCTATTTTTATATTTTTATTTTTGAATTTAATCTTTATGTACGTTCCTTTTTTGGTCTTTGTGTTTCTGGTCTAGCCTAATAAAGAAAGATTGACTTTTCTCCGATCATTCCTTTTAAGGTAGGACCCTGAACATCCGATTCCTTTTCGGGATAGTCTGGTATTGGATTCAACGACAATTTGAATATTTTTGAAGTTTTATTAACAAATTAACAACATAACAACAACTACGATTATTAGAGGCATGTGATGTTTCATTTTCAGAGATTCATTAGTTTTCCATACTTAATGCTCTGGCTTTATTGTATTTATTTATCATTATTAATTCTTTGTATTCATAATTATCAAACAATAAAATTAACTACTACTATAGTTGTTTGCCTTAATAAAATTTCATTGTAATAGTTGCCATAATCAATTGAATTCTTTAAGTAAATGGCATATCAAATATCAAATGTGTGACTAATAAAAGTTTTAAAAATAGTAAATGTGGATGAAAATCAGGGTTTTGGCTTTTACACTAATTAATACTGATACCCATGAAAGGCCGAAATTACCAGTCACAGGATCTAAAAATAAAATTCAAATTAATCTTCCACATAAATAGAATGTCAGATAGTATATAAGAGAAAGTTTTTGGAGGTGAGAAAAGATAAGTTTGAATTAGATATATTATTAAATAAATAAAAAAAATTTATTCTCAATCATTAAATATATTATATCCACATTACCTAAAAAAAATATTAAAGAACATGGAATCATTTACTGATATGAATGTTGAAATTTTAGATGAAAATATTGTCAATTTGGATGATGATGACAACTATGATGATGATTCTGATGACAACTATGATGATGACTCTGATGACAACTATGATGATGACTCTGATATACTTGTGTATGATTATTCTTCACTTGATAAAGCCAAAGAGAGTATTAGTTGCTTACTAGATGAAGATGAGGAGGATGATGATGATAATAATGTTAGTGATAGTGATGATGATGCTAATATTACTGATGAAGAAAAAGAAGATGAAGAATATGAAACAAGGGAAATACCAAATGGTAGTAATAAAGAATTGACTCCCTGTGTTGTAATTGATAACATTGATGGGGTAATACAACAATGTAGATCCACTAATAGAGTGAGACGTTTAGGACAGCTTGTTGGAGTATGGGAGGTAGATGAAACTGCTGTTAGAAGTTGTGATGATCTAGTGAATGAATTGGGTGTATGTTATGATCATTTTTTGCAGGATCAAAATCACATTCATTCAAAAGGAGCTAAACAAGAAGTAAATATTGAAAAAAGCCTTGTACAATTTCGAAAATGCCTATTTTGTAACCAGAACAAAGCTTTTTTCACACGAAGGAAAACATGTGTTGAGCATTGCTGGAATATCATTGGAAAAAATATTCAACTTCCATGCAATGCACAGTATAAATGTAAAGTATTCTCACCTAACTCAACTGCAAGTATGACTAAATCTGTCTATAGGCCTCGGTTTATTTGTTGTGATTGTTTTAATCAACATGGCGGTCATTTAAAACCAAGATCTGGAAAGGGAATACCATTTAAATTATGTAATGATCATGATAATGATGTATCCAGTTCCTTACAATATATAAGTAAATGGATTTTAGAAGTATCTCATAGCAGTGATCAAGGATATAAAGAAAAGGTACTTAACTACTTGGCTCCAAAATTTCCCGAAAACATAAAATTGGAACCTTCAAAATCTACACAACCAGAACATTCAGAAGAAATCAAAGTTCCTCGTCTATTTCTTATAAAAACCATTTTAAAATTAGCCAAAGTGAATCTTACAGACAAAGAAAGGGCTTCTAATTTGACCTCAGGAGAATTCTATGATCAAGCAAAAACACTTGCATTAGCAATTTGGAAAAACAAGAATATTCTTTCAGAAAATTCTGATCAACTTTCCCAACCTGAATCTTTAGAAAAATATATAAATGCTTTTCCATCTTGTTTGACAAGTTTTTTTGGTGGAATGGTTGAAACAATAAACATTAAAAAGCAACTTCGACGTAGAAATCCAATCTCTGATCCTAATAACAATCAAACAATAAAAACAACAGCATTTCTTTCATCT